AAGCTAGTTTGTTTTAATGGTGTATTGAAAACGTCATAAGTGGTGGGTTTAAACATGATCTAAAGCTATAAACTCTGGTTTTCAAACTACTATGTTGGGGATTGCATAACACGCCAAGCCACAACCAAACACATCATGTTATACTTAGCACACGGTATGGACTTAGCCTAATTGTTAACTTGGCTGCTCATTGTCTACTCCAGTTGCCAATAGTTTTCTAGCGTCTTCCCCATCATCAACTGAATATCAGTACAAATTACATATAGTAATCCATTTTTGAGAGCCAGATTAGTGTTCTGTGGTGGTTCTCAAACATTCTGGTCTCAGGACCCCTTTACATTCCTAAAAATGATTGAGGGCCCCAAAGAACTTTGGTTTATGTGGGTTATATCTGTCAATAGGTACTGAAATTAAAACTGAGAAATGTTAAAATATTTATTTATTTGACTTCCAGACCACACTTTGAGAACCACTGGTGTAGTGGTTAAAGGCACCAGACTAGAAACTGGGAGACTGTGAGTTCTATTCCTGCCATGGGCATGAAGCCACTAGGTGACTTTAAGGCAGCCTTTCCCCTCTCAGCTCTAGGAAGAAGGCAATGGAAAAGCACTTCTGGGACTTGCCAGGCAGTCACCAGGATTAAGATGGACTCAAAGACACTTTTTTTTAAAAATGCAGTTTTAGTTCCCTCAGTATCCTAACTTTCTGAAATAAAACTAGAGATGCTTTGCAGTTTTTCAGTGACTAAAAGCAGAACTATGTGATTGAAGATGCAAGTTACACACTCAGCAGAATTACACGAAGTTCTTCTGAGATTGTAACTTTGGTAGATCTCACACTTGCATGCTTCCAGCATTCTCCTCCTGGCATAAAGAAAATAAGTGGGCAGACATGCTTTCGCACGTTTTCCCTGATTCACTAGCTGTCTCTGTGCAGAACTTTTTTCTATATGAATTTCTACTGAAAATGTCTAATAATCTTCTGTAGTCAGTCTGAAATACAATAGCCCTGTCAAACTTGTACTGCAGGCCTTCCTTCTTGGGTAACTACAGGCTGTCTAAGGCAGGGTTTCTCAGCCTTAGCAGCTTTAAGATATGTGGACTTCAACTCCCAGAATTCCCCAGCCAGCCATGAAGTCCACATATCTTAAAGTTGCTAAGGTTGAGAAACACTGGTCTAAGAATCTAGAGATGGACAAATAGCCATTTGTCTCATTTTAAAACTGTTGTAATGAACTTGATTGTTAACCCAGACACCTAATACTCAGATTTGATTTGATGTTTTAGGCATCCAGATAGTACTTCAAGCATCTGGAATATTTACGAGGATTCTATACCCTCATACTCAGAGAGTATTATGAAGATTATGAAATGAAATGGATTCTGCTCACCATCCCTGCAACTTCCTATTAGGGATGGACAGTTCTGCCAGTTTTTCTTTTTCTTCCTCAAAGACGGTTTCATCTTTGAAGCCTTTAGATAGTAACATGCATTTCGTACCCATCTTTTCCTGTTAGATTAATATTTTCGTTTGCTTAAGGAATTGCATTGTATAATTTTGAACAGTGCTAAGGCTTTGATGTAGAAAATCTATTGGTAAGTTCACATCAAATACGAATTGACCATGGTTGTCTTCTATCCCTTATTTATTTTATCAAATGTATACCTGTTGTAATCAAGCTGATTCTCTGAAGTAATTAAGAGCAACAACAAAAAACTGAAAGCACTTGGTACTAAAATATCAATAGTAGGACTAAATAGCACATAAAATTATGAAACCATGAATGTAAAATAATATCTAACAATCGTGGATATCAACACCCGCTATAGGCCCTCTGAAATAATTCAGATTTCAAAAGTTTCTAGAAGACAAAAACTACCGTGGTCAACCTGGTTTCTAAGGTGAGGCTTTTCCATAATGAAGTGCTGCACTGAAAAAACCTCCATCTCCATCCCACATATTTCCTAGAGTTAGGCAGCATTACAAATTTGATAAATAAATAAATAAATGAAGGATCACCAGCAGTTTCTGCCATGATGCACATGTTGGGCGGGTCAATTCTGGCTGGAGACCATATGGTTCACAAAGCTCTTTCAAACTGCTGCATTTGTGTGATCCTAAGGCATCCTAAGAACTAGCCAGGGGAAATACCTCTCAGATATCTCAGATGGGTCTATTACACAGAAAGGCTCCCTGAGAATTCAGGCTGGCATCTCAAAAGAAGATTTAGAACATGTTCTTTGATACATGGCTTGCATAATGGCATTAGTATAGCATCTACTGCTATCATTTGAGCAAGTTGGATATGTCCTGTTTCGACATCATGTTTACTCAAAGTAAGAATACCATAAAGAAGTCAGTAAGTGCTTCATCGATTATAGAAAAGCCTTTGATTGTGTCGATCACCCCAAGCTGTGGAAAGTGCTCAGAAAAATGAGAATCCCAGAACATCTCATTGTCCTCATGAGAAAACTTATATACAGATCAGGAAGCCACGGTACGGACAGAACTTGGTGAAACAGACTGGCTCCAGGTTAGCAAAGGAGTGTGACAAGGCTGCATACTCTTCCCTTACTTATTCAGCCTGTATGTATTAAGGGAAGCTGGATTGAAAGAAGATGAGTGTGGTTTTAAAATTGGGGGAAGAAACATCAATAACCTGCACTATGCTGATGGCACTACCCTTGTAGTGGAAAATGCAAAGAATCTGCAAGTCCTAGTATTAAAAATCAAAGAGCACAGTGAAAAAATGGGACTAAAATTAAATATAAAGAAGATCAAACTACTGACAACAGGTACAACAATCGGCCTCAGAATTGACAATGAAGATACTGAAGTGGTGCAGAGCTTCTGCCTTTTAGGATCAACCATCAACAGTAAAGGAACAAACAGTCAAGAAATACACCGCAGACCAGCCCTTAGTAGAGCAGCCATGAAGGCCTTGGACAAAATATTCAAATGCTGTGATGTGCCTATACCTACAGTACAAAGATCAGAATCCTGCAAGCCATGGTCTTCCCTGTGACACTCTATGGAAGCAAAAGTTACAGTAAACTTTAAAGAAGCAGGATAGAAAGAGTATCGACGCCTTTGAACTTTGGTGTTGGAGAAGACTCCTGAGAATACATGGACAGCCAAGAAAACAAACTGATAGATCATTGAACAAATCAACTCAGAGTTCTCACTCAGGGCCCGGATGCCCAGTCTCAAATTATCCTATTTCGGACACATTATGCAAAGACCCAGCTCCCTGGAGGAGGCTGTAATGCTGGGAAAGGTGGAAGGAAAGAAAAGAAGAGGATGACCAGCAGCAAGGTGGATGGACTCAGTTACAGTGGCAATGGGTGCAACATTGGATGACCTGAAGGAACAGGTTAGGGATAGATCATCATGGAGTTGCTAGGAGTCAAAAATGATTTGATGGCACATAATCAATAAATTAGTCAAAGTACTTAAGAGTTAACACTGAAAAATGATTGTAGTTCTAATAAGAAGTTTTTTCTAAGGCCTGAACCTGAGAACTATCACATGGTGAATTGTATTCCAGCAATGCATGAAATCCTGTTGCAGGCTTTATCTCAGAGTTTGCATTTTGTTTGCATGCTTTGTGTGGGATGGGATGTAGTATCACTGGTTCTGCTGGCTTGACAGAGTAATAAACAGTTTCCCCAGATAGAAAGGGAAGTTGGAAACAACAATTCTACATGTAAAGCTGAAATGTCTGCATCTGTGGGGCTGTGACTTCCTGAAGAGCCTACTGAAAAAAAACTGTGGTGGTTAGAAATTATAATAGTATGTGGGAATGACCTTGGGAGACAGGAGGAATTGCTGCAGCCTAGACAACGGTCTGATAAATGAAATCTGAGTTGGAAGGAGGGGTGGGGTGGAGGAAATGTCTCAGAAGGGACCCTCCCTAATTTTTGGGAAAGTAAAAGCAAGGGAAGGAGAGGTACTTTCAGAACTGCAAGATTATGTTACTGTAACCTTGCAATAAAGGTAGTGTTAGTACTCTTGGTTGCTGCTCTTTGCCTGGACTACCTCAAAGGGCTGACAGAAATATACATTGGATGTACTGTACCTTCAGGAACACTATGTGAAAAATCCTACCTTTCTTCTGTTCACACTTTTATAAAAGTAACTTTTAGGATATCAGATATGTTATCTCAGGGTTGGTAACAGCTAGTGTTAAAGGTTCATGACAAATGCCCAGTACAGAGGGCCAACTTGTATTATCAGTCATACTTTGAGCCATGTCACCATTTCTTAGGGGAGTGTATGTAGCTGCTCATGTCCCATTCAGCTGAGGGACCTGGACTGATCTGAGAAGAACTGAAGCAGAGTTGGACCTACTTAGTACTTGGATGGGAGACCACCAAGGTGCAGATAAACTGGGAGATGTAAAATGAAAAAAGTAAAATAAAATCCAGAAAAGACAAAGGCAAACCACTTCCTATTGTTGCCAAATAATACTACATAGCCATGTGCACGAAGTCTCCAGGAGTCAAGTCTGATGTGAGAGAATCATTAGGTTTTTATAAGCAATTGAGGGAGGATTAGGAGACTATAAATAAGCTCCTTCAGGCATTAGCAAGGCCCTCCACGTACAGAGGGCAGCTTTCTGCAACAAAGTGTGTCTTCCTTCTCTGGAGGCTGGCTGTGCGGTTCAAAAGCTTGGGAGGGCCAGGGCTTCAATTGGCGTGGAGGGCCTCTGGGAATACAAGAGATCCTCTGCTGCAAACTGGTGTCTCCTGCATGGAGAATGAATCGGAGAGGCAGTATCGTCTCTGTTTCCCTTGATTTTCCCCTCAATTTACATGTGTGTTTATTGAAATGCTTCCAGTACATGCACATTATTATTAGCTGTGGAAATTGACACCTAGTTAATAGTCAAGAAATCAGAGAGTACGTACTGAGTGAACTTATGGAGCCTTAGAAACCACACGTAAGTGTTAATTTTAACCTGTTTTTATTCAGCTGAGAAAAAGAATGCTTTTGCAAGTTGGACATAATTATTTGTTCATCCACAGAGGAAGCAATCTTATACCAGGTCTATCATCTTCTATATCTAATCTGACAGGTTCTTTTTAAAACACCCATTCTAAGCAAATAAATGCACTCAATCTTTACGTAGAGTATTAAGTCAATAACATTCAATGGGACAGTTGAGATTATGGGAACTGTAATCCAAATGCACCCGGAGGGCAGCAGACTGAGAAGGGTCTCATTGAGAGACTCTAACAGAGAAGTAATAAACATGGATTGTCTCCTGACATACAATTACGTATGACTAATATTATATAGACATAACCAGTGTACATGCCCTCTTTGTACACTGAACTGTTTTCAGGTGCTTGAAAATGCAGCTCTGAAGATCCTGGAATCTGAGCCAGATTTCCTTGTGGCTCTACAGAGCTAATCCTGAATGTAGAAGAGAAAATTTTGGTATGCAAGAACACTGAATTTTATCAAGAATCTTTTCTCAGATAATTCAGACTATAGGGATACATGGCCTGATTAAACAATTATTACTCTGAGCTTTATGATAAATGCAACACCTCTACTTATGTTTCAGGAATGTTCAGAAAATAGTCCATCAGTTTTCCAAGGACTACAACAGCTATGCATAGCTGGATAGATATAGCATTATCAGGTGTTGCTATTCCAGATCAACCAATTGTAGGATCTTGTCAACAGATGAAAGGATAGCAGATTTGGTAAAGTATAGTGCTTAAGGTTTTGAGTTGGAGCTGGGGAGATCCAAGTTCAGTTCTCCACTTTACCATGGAGCTGACTGGATGACTTCAAGTCCATTATTTCAGCACGACCCACTTCACAGGATTGTTGCTGTAGGGAATAAATCTGGAGAATACTTTCATGTAAGCCACCTTAAGCTCCCAAAGGAATGGGAATAGCCAGATAAAATATAGGTAAGTAAATAAGTTTTAGATTTGGTTTCCAATATCTGCTGTTTCCTAAATGTAAGAGAGAAACCAAACTGGCCAACTCAGAATGGATAGCAAGAACACTGGATTCACTGAAGAAAATGGCCAGAGTTCTGTAATTGTTCAAACAATTGTGAGCAGGCTTACCCTCTTCTATCTATACTCCATGAACCTTTCTGGGTAACTAGTCACTGATTTGGGATGTTGGTCTACCAGTTCATCTTTCTGTGAGCTGTAGATCAGCCTGGCTTATATTCCATTGATCACAATTCTTGCTCAGCAGAAAAATGCAAGAAGATGGTTTGGAGACAAAGAATACTATGCAGCCAAACGACTCTATTACGACCTGTCAGGCTTAAAGTGGCAGGATATTCTGTCTCTTTCTGTCTGTTGGGATTTACAGTCACTTTTTCTCCCTTCCATTGCTCCCAATGGGAGGCAAATTAATTCCCCTTATAGATCAGACCAGCTCTAAGATTACTGGATAAGTCAGGAGAATGTGATGGGCTTGGGTCCAAAAGATCCCCTGCTAGAGTTCCAAGAATGGAGCTTCTTGACCAGGATCTCCTTGCTGCTTTTGGGATGATGCCATCAAGGCCAGACTCCTTCTCAGTCCACAGACTTCCCTAGGAGTCACCCAGAATGTATCCTCAGTTGCTTGGTTGCTTGGTTGATTAGTAAGAAGATCAATCCTAACTCTGATGTAGATGGCGCACTCCAACATCACCGGCCGATTTTCTGGCTGCATCTGGCAGGATAGAAATGGGGTTAGAGAGATGGTTGTAACTTTCTTCAGAGTTTATTTTAAAAAAACACACACACACAAAATTTCCCTCCCTTTACAAACAACAAGAGGGAAAATTGCCAGATTTTGCTGATCTAAATGATGGCATCTGGGAATCCATTTATGATTTATCAGCTCCTGAGCTCCATTTATTCATCCACGGTAGTCCTAATTATACTCCTTTCTGAGATCAAGATTTCAAAAATGCAGAAAGAACCTGTCTCCCAGTGGAGACCTGATGTTATTTCTCCACTTCTACCCTGATAAGGTATAACTTCTGAGACTCTATAATATTGTTAGAAAATAAATATGATGGGCAGGCCCTCCCCAGTGCTGTTTAAAAGTATGCCTACCTGCCCAGAAAAGGAACAAACAAGGGTTAATAAGGAGCATCCTGAGGACTTAGAGGTAGTAGCAGGTAGCATTCTGTTTAATCAGTGCTTTGTAACTGGCTGTGCTCTCCATGGTAGCCATTTTGTGAATGGTCAAGCCCCTCATGAGTTATTTTGGGTGAGTACTCACTATATGTTCTAAATTTCAAGTCCGTCTATCAGACCAAAAAGATTGAAGGCCATTGCTCAAAGACATTGTTTCTGCAATCAGAATTATACCCTTAGCTATTTTCCTCCAAAATAATTCATGAGAATATGGATAATTTGGGGTTACAATTTTATACCTGGCTCTACATGCTAAGTGTAATGTATGGCAAGAAACATATAACTAGGAGTATCTTGATACAACTCAAATCCAAATGATGTTTCACTCTCAACTGCAGGTCATTTGCATTTTAATTCTCCAGTTGTTAGTATTTAGTGAAGTAATATTTGCAGCAAAATCATGGAAATCTTTGGAAAAATATAAGCTTTTCTTATAAGACTTTGTTATAAGCTTTGTTATAAATTGCAGATATAAAATTATTGCTGGGCAAATAACCTTTAGTTTTATGATGGTGTGTATGTGTGTCTCTGTGTACATAATCTTCTGAAAAGATATGAATCTATTTTTTTTTTATAAGGGTAAATCTTAATGTTCTTCAAGCCAACTATGAGCAAATACTTTTTGGCAAATAATTTTTGACAAATAATTTTTGGCAAATAATTTTGGGTTGGTATATTCAATCCAAATACTCAGGAGAGTGAGATTGAGTGTCTCCAGAATGAGACATCTATGATTTAAGCTTTGAAAACTGAAACAGCTATCTTCTTTAGCTGAACCAACTCAGAGGTAGAAAATAGTTCAAGAGATTCTTGAAATGCAATTACTGAGTTCAAAAACACTGATTTCAGCTGTACGCTCTGAAGTCTGGATCATTTTAATGAACATCTCCTTCATCCTGCTGTATATATGAAGATCTACTGCCATGGACAACTTGCTCATAAAAGATTCTAACTAAACATTCCTGAGAGAGAATTTTAGGCCAGATTTAATGACACAGCATTAGGGAGATGTTCTTTAAAAACCTGAATAGAACATACAATCTAAATGCAATTTACTACTGATTTGTCTCATAAAGGTCATCTAGAGTTTTAGAAAAGCTCTTTTCCAACTGCTGCCCATAAGTTAGGCAGTAATGGAAATGATGGATTATTTGCTTGGTCCAGAATAACACTCTATGCTTGCATCTGAAAAGATTAATTCAGAAGAACTATCCAGCTACATAGAACACTTCACCTGATACCAAAATTATATCTTTCTCCTTCATCTCATTTTTTTTTCCTCTTCACAAGTCCAAACATGTTCCATTTTTTTGGAACAAGCACAGGTCATGGACTATGAGGTTTATCATTTGGGTACAGATCTCAGCTGACATGGGACCAGTTAATTTATTTTGGAAGGATATGGGAATCCGTCACATTTAGATTATATTGTTCAGATTTGAATATTCATCAAATGAGTAATACCTTCCTACCTTGCAAGATGAATACACGATGCAGCCTTTCATCACACTGAGAGTCTCAGATTGTACCATACAGTTTTATACAAGAAAGTGAAAATTTCTTTAAAAACATACATAGAGGACAGGTCTGATTTTTTACAGTATGATCTATAACCCTGTTAGCTGAACTGCGTGTCTTCTAACAGAATTGAGGTTTTTTTTTATTATTTCAATCAGTGTTCATCTGATATCCTCAGTTTAACTGATCCAGGATGATGTCCTAACTCAGTTTTAGCTGGTAACATAAAATGAAGCCTGAAGGATAGTCTTTAAAGAGAAAAATCAATGTCACATGGGAGAAAGTATCAAATGGTCAAACAATTATGAAATTATGCAGTTCATTTCAAGGTAACAAGAGAATTGCTTTCTCAGGGTCAAGTTCTGCCTACTGCTTTTTAAAAGTCATACACACTGAAAGCTCTGTTTATATCATATTATGGGCCCTAGCTATAGGCAATAGTATTCGTTTTAGTGTGATCTTACGTTGCAGACAGGGAAAATACTGAGGGCAAAGGATGAAAAATATGCTTCTGATCACACTTACAAAATACAGATCTGTGGGCAATGCACTCAAAAGCAGAACAACATAGTAATAAAACAGATTTGCCTTGCTTTGTATATGTTTGTGGATTCCACGTTGACTGTTAGTCATCTCCTAATCAAACAAAATATGTACAGCTTCTTTACTCTTATCCCATAGGTTAAACATACCACCTGCTAGTTTAATGTTTATCATCTTTGAATTTCTTCATTTGTCAATATTTTTCTGGCATGTATGTGTGCAGAAACAAAAGCAAGTTCACTTGTTACATTCTCTGTCTTTGTTAACTTTGTTTCACTAGCTGCACAAGTCCAAGTTAGTATTCCTATGAGCATCCATTTGGGAAGCAAGCAGAGAAATTACTGTGAAACAGAAATCTTGATTTTCCATTACCCTTGTTTTCATATTATTTGAATTTCAAATTAGTTTGCAACAAAAATAGGTACTGACCAGGGATTTTAATCTAGGTATATTTATGTTCTAATAAAGCATAACACATCAGGGAGATTTTTACAGCTGATATCAGGTGATAGTTGGGGAAGGAAGGAAGGACAGAAGGGAGGGAGGGAGGGAAGGAGGTGTGAAAAAATTTCTTACCTTCATTCTTGTAGTGTGATAATAATTGTTGGCAAATTTCAACTCCAAAAGCTTTCATTTCTGCCATCAGCACGTGAGGAACTCATCTTGCACAAACCTTCCAATATTGAAGAACATTAATAATATGACCCACACATTCCTGTGAAATGTCAAGTTTGACAGCATTTTCCCTTTGAGTAATCCACCAATTGTCTTTAATTAGTTCATCAATCTTTCTTAAGTGAAACTTGTCAGTTGCTGTCATAGGTCACCTACTTCGTTCTTGATCACACAAATCAGCTCTTCCTGGTTCACCATCTTTATATTTTTTGGCTCAGCAATGTTTAGTACTTAGACCAACGTAGCCATGACTATAAACAATCTGCATTTGATGATGAATTTCAACTGGAGGACAGTCAAAAATTCAGTTACAGCACATTGTTTAAAGCACAGTGACAAATACTCATTGGAGGTTTCCTTTTCACAAAGAATAGCTTTTCTCCCAACTACTTTCTACCAAGTGAAGTGAACAAACTAAAGAACATGTCTGAGCTTTTAGAGCATCAGTACTGCCATCTGTTGGTGACGTATAACATTGGAGACGTTACTTTTCATTCAACCCTCATAATATATCTTGATTTCAGTAAAGCATTTGACAAAGTATACTACAATAAAAATATATTAAATAGTTAACAACCTGCTACCTTTTTATGACACTTAGAATTAGCTGGCACAAGTGTGTGTCTCTCTCTGCTTAATAATAGTAGTGGCCCTTGAAAAAAGGACAGGTTTATATAGCTGAGGTCTCTCTCTCCATCTCTATGTTGAAAGGAGAGATACATGATCCATCACATTTAATTTAGACCTATGTGTTTTCTAATTCTACATAGTACTAATACATAATGCTAATACTAATACATAGTACTAAGGAAAAAAGCAGTTGCTTCTTCTTGGCAATAGGGAGAGAGGTGCTGGGTGGGATAATTAGATAAGAAAGCTTTAATGGCCTGCAAAGGCAGATAACATCCTGGATGTCCTTATAAATTGATCTGTCTCTGCCCGCTATTTCTGAAGACTTACAGATACCAGCTGAAGTATTCCACTCTTATATTGGTAAGGAGTTCCTAAGTCTGATCATGGCTGGTTTGAGCTTAGAACAAAGTACATGACTATTTCAAGGGTTAAGCAATAAAGTGAAAGAAAAGACAGTCTTCCCGGGCACAGGAAAGCCTCTGGATGAAGGTGAGAGGCTTATAGTTAAAAGTATAAATTAAAAACAATATGGTGTTCTAATTAGAAGGTATGCTTTACATAATTGTTTCTGGCATGGTGTGGAAGAGTGTTTTACAGTGGTTTTTCTGTTGTTGTTTACTATGAGTAGCCACTCGTCTATTGTAAAAAAAATATGACGCGGTTAGCCTAAATCACAGGCTATTTGATAGTTATCAGTGAAAATGTACAAAAATTACGATCATTCAGATAGAAACACAATGCACCCCACAATCCTGGAGAAACCTTGACAGTAGAAGGGGCACCCATTTTTTGCTTTGCTGAGTCCAAATGTTTGGTGAGTTCTTCTTTTCGTTTCTTATAATTCTTGATTTTGAAAATTGGACTCAGACTGGGCAAGTCATCCAAGAAAGAGAGCTTTCAAATAACCCTCTGCATCCTGTGGGTTTTCTTATTTTAACTTTTCTTGAGGTTTTCTCTAAAAATGCTGTTCAGAGAAAACAGTACTTTGAAAGTACATTCTGAAACCATGGGGCAGGAGCAGGCAAAGGTTTTTGGTCTAGGCAGGGTCTGCGCTCTAGTATTACTTTCTGGCCCCTGGGGGCAGCAGAAGGGGCATTTCAGAATTTTCACATCATTTGGGAGGAAGATGTTGGAGGAACTTTTTGGAACTCAAAATAGGTGTGGTAAAATAGATCTATTTTAGGTCCTGTTTTGTTTTTAAACTAAAAAATATTGAGTCGAATTGACTCCTGGTAGGTTCCTGGACATGTTGAGGTAGTATTTTTGGCAATAGTGCTAAAGTAGTTTGCTGTTGTCTAAGATACTTAAAAAAAAAAAAATTCCAGTCTAGCTTCAACCCTGGTTTTGCTTGGTAGTCTCCCATCTAAGCACGAAGCAACCCAATTCTGCTTAGCTTCTAAGTCCAGACAAAGTCCAGACAAGTCCTGTCAAAGTTAAACACCTACCACCACCTGCAATAGCATATTAAATACTGCTTTGTAGGAAATCAGCCATTTGGGGACTTCAAACCTGGAAGCTTTGGGGTGTACAAAATTCAAGTCAGGGGCCACTGATTGTCCAGCCCCTATAACGGTCTTACCTCATAGTTTTGCAGTTTCCTTTTTAAGTTCTCTGAGCAGCAGCTAAGAGCTAAATTCCAGTGAAATGATTCAGCACATTTGCAGACTGAAATTTTTCTGTGTAATAGAGATAAGTGGTGGCTAGAGAGCGAGATGTTCTCTAACACACTCCCTGTTGCTGCTGTTTGTATTGCTTCCTGCCCTAATTAAGATTGGGCTTAGAAAACTCCTCTCTTTCTGCAGTCTCCTCCAACACCACTCCCAAAAGGTGACATTTTCTTTAGCTAATGGAAGTGTTTCCCCAAAGTGTATCCCTTTCAGCTTATCTCTGCACGCACAGCAAGGGGGAAAAAATCCTTTTTAGCTGTTTATGTTAGGTGGAATGAAGAGCAAATTAATTAGGTAGGATAAAAAATAGCCATGTTAATCTCTGCATTAAACAATGAATAACTTACAGTATGGTTCAAGCATGGAAATGACTTAGGAAAAAAAGGTTTCAAGCATATGTACGTATCTTTTAATAGATCTTGTTTTGCTAGAACAGATGGAAGTAAAAAAATATGTATGAATGTATTCCCAGTGGCATATTTAAATCAGTGGGTGAACACTAACACTGAAAATGGAGAAATAATAGTTTTCCAGGTGTTTGATTTTATTAGGTTATGTCTAAGCAGCACATGAAATGGAGTCTATGCAATCAAGTGGCAGGAAAATCATAGCACTGCCCTGATGTTGCACATCTTCCTTGCCCCATTCCAAATAGCTGCATGGTAGACAACATCTGGAGTAGACATTCCATGCAGAGATATCTCCAGGCACATTGGCTTCCATGTCTAAGCTTTCAGTATTCCAGAATGGGTGGATCTGATGCTTACTGGTGTTCTTGTCACTAATCCAATGTATATGGAAGCAGGAAGAGTGGAGCGAAGAAGAAGGAGAAGGAGGAAGAGGAGGAGGAGGAGAAAGAGGAGGAGGAGGAGAAGAAGAGGAAGAGGAAGAGATAGAACGGCTGTGGCAAAAGTAAGCAAAGATAGTACCAATAGTAATAGGTGCCTTGGGTGCAATCCCT